CCTAGTGGCTCCTAGGCAGGAGAGGGTAGCCAGGGTGAAAAAGTGCATGCCAGAAGGTCAGGCCTGGGATGCAGTGTTCACTAAAGTCCTGTGTGGGAGAGAGGAGGCAGCCTAGAGGGGGGAGGGGAGTAGAGTAACCCATCATCCCTGTTTGCCTGGAACTGTGTCTGCTTCAGCACTAAAAGTCCCACACTGAGAGCACACTTCAGTCCTGTGTGTTCCAGGGAAGGAGGGTGCTCTGGGAGCCAGGGACAGGCAGGTGCTTCTCAGGAGCTGTCATGACAAAGCGAAAAGTGGTAAGAGTCTAGCAGACTGCTGCCCAATATGGAGCAAAAGGAGAATGATGGGTTAGAGGGTCAAACAGGCCGCCGGCGTTCACACTCACAGCAGCAACACTTTGCACATAAGCCACACTTGCCAAACCTCACACCCATGATGTCGTTTGATCTCTTCAAGTTCTGCAGTCTGGGACTGAGCCTGGGTAGCACTTTTGGTTTCTCTCTGGAGATCAGGCCAGTGACCTGCTCAGGACTCTCCAAGATGGGGCCCTCCCCACCACTCCTGAATCACGGAGGCCAATGACTCATTCCTGCAGCACTCTCTCCAGCCCACGCCCAGAGTGGGCAACCTTTGCCCTCTTGGCCACAAACCAGGCAAAGGGATCTGGACATCCGGCCTCCTCCCATCCTGCAGGGCAGTCCAGGAGGCAGGGAGGCCTGCCTGGCACTGCTGACAGGCTCTGGGGGCCACAGAGAGTGCTAGTAGCCTGCTCTGGGGCTTTTACTGCATGTCCTCACCCTCACAAAGACCCCACCCATGGAGACTCCCTTCAGCCTCAAAAACTCAGGCATGGGGAGGAGAAGAGGCCACAAACATATACCTGCTACAGATTGGTTCTAACCAATCTGCCAGCGCCCACCACTGCTCTGGCATCTTCCTCACCTCCCACAGGTCTCTTGGTCCCCCAGGCCTCTCAGACTGCCCTGTCTTCCCTGTCCAGCCAAGGGCTCAGTGTCTCCACAGTCCACCTGTCATGCCCTGCACTAGAGGCTCAGACCCTGACTCCAGAGATGGTGAGAAGTGAGGTCCTGAACCTGAATCACAGAGCATTGCCCCCTCCTTCTTCTTGGGGTCCACGATGACATAGATCTCTCTCTCTCTCTCTTTCTCCAGTACTGGAGTTTGATTAAACCCAGATCTCGAGTTTGCTAGCACTCTACTACTTGAGCTATATTGAGCTATACCCCCAATCTTTTTCTTTGTATTTTGTTTTTCATACAAGGTCTAACTAAGTTTACCCTGGCTGGTCTTGAACTCCCCCATCCTCCCGCCCTGCCTTGAGAGTAGCTGGAATTACAGACATGTACCACCACACCTGGCCCATAAGTCTCCTTTTCAGCTTCTTGTCCAAGGTTGTGGCATTAGGATCTCTCAGGGGGGAAAGGAGGAACCCTGTAAAAGGAGTGCTTAGATGAGGACAGGGTGTGGGGCGCCACACCTTTGTAAACTTTCCCTGGGACTCTACCCCTCCCCAGCAGCCGTCTGCTGTCTCTACCTTGGCAATGAATCTATGTAGAACAGAGTAATAGCTCCCCACCTAGTCATAAACCGAAGTCCTCTGCCCAGGACATTACCAAGCAGGCTGGACTTTTTTTAGAGGAACGTTCCTGAAAGGGGAGGTGACCTAATGTGAATAAGGCTCTAGACCCAGATGTCCCCGGTTAGAACTAACTAGACACTGGTTGGGTAACCTCAGGCAAGTTTTTTAATGTCTCTGAACTCTGGCTTTTTTTAAAAAAGCAGGAAGAGCCTATCTGAGATGTTGACACTGAGGAAGAGCCTGACTAGCAGTCAGGAGATAAACAATCGCTCTTTGTTCCTTCCCATCTTTCGAGCTGTTTTCTGATGGTGGTTATGATACTTTTGATTTTACAACTCTAATTGAAGTCAAATTGACATGCCATAAACTGCGTGTATTTAAATTGTGCAATGTGATGTTTTGCTATATGTATCTCCATGAAACCATTATCGGTCAAGATAACAGCAATAACCATCAACCCCACCCCACCCCTGTCTCCAGGCAACCACTGGTCTGCTGTCATTATTCATGAGTTCACATTTTCTAGAGTTTATACACAAAGGTATACAATATGTATTCTTTATATCCAGCTTCTTTCCCTCAGCATAATTATTGTAAGATTCTGTCACATTTTAGTTTGTATCAATAGTTCATTTTTCCTTATTGTTGAATACTGCTCCATTGGATGCAAGGACCACAACTTATGCATTCGCTCAGTGATGAACACTGGAATCTAAGCATTTAGCTATTCCAAAAGCTACTATGAGCATTCAGCACAACTCTTTGGGAGGATCTGTGTCTTCCTTTTTCGTATGTTATCTTTTTTTCTGGGCATTGACCCCAAGCCCTTGAGCGTGAGAGGCAAGTGATAACCACTGAGCTACATCCCCAGCCCCATTACTCTTTAAAATGTAAATCTAATGCATTTCAAGTGCAGCCAGTTCATGTAGGCTCATCATAGGCAAACTTGAAAACAATGGTTGCTTTAACTTTTCTGCTTCTAATTTCCCATAGCTCCACTTCTCCTTGATTAAAACACTGAAATAGGGGGCCAGTCAAGACCCTGTTACCTCAGAAGAGGAGAGAGTCTTTGAGGTCCTCAGTTTTGCATAGCATTGTGAGACCATGGAGGGGCACTTCCTTCTTCCAGAATTTTTTTTTAAATATGTAAACAAGAGAGATAAAAATCAGGCGCCAGTGGCTGGTGCCTGTAATCCTAACTACTTGGGAAGCTGAGATCTGAAGGATCATGGTTTGATGCAAGGCTGGACAAATATTTCATGAGACCCCATCTCCAAAATAACCAGAGCAAAATGTATTGAAAATGTGGCTCAAGCAGTAGAGTGCCTATTTTCCAAGTGTGTAGCCTTGAGTTCAAGCCTTGAGTTTAAACCCCAGTCCCACCAAAGAGAGAAAGAGAGAGGGAGAGGGAGAGGGAGAGAGAGGGGGAGAAACCACAAATACAAACCACAGGAAAGGAGGCCAGTTATTCTCTATCTCTCCATTCAGTCATGAAGTATTTACGAGACTCCTACTAATGCCAGGAGATGTGCTAAGGGCTGGTCCTGGGAACACAAAGGTCCCTGCATTTGAGGATCAGAGAGGCCAGAGGAAGGAAGAAGCATGAGAAGAAAGTATCCAGGGAGATGGGGGAGGCTGGAAGCAGGGTCCCTGGTCTGCCTGCTGGAGCACACCAAGCAAAGGGTCACAGCATGCAGCAGGTGCCACACAGCAAGTGGGGTCCGGCCCTTGAGGGGCTTACAGAGAAGAGCAAGCTAGCAGCCTGGGTTCCAAAATCCTGGATCCCTTCCCCTTGTCTAGATCTCATCCAGAAAGTCTCCTTTTCTGTATGCAATTTCTCTTCCCAGACTAGCCCCCTGGGCTGGACAGCAATAGAAGTCAGGCCTGGGGCTTGACTTCCACCAGGTTCGCTACTAGGGGTCACAAGGTCCCCTGCTATAAGGAGAGATGGTGGGTTAACAACTGTGTGTGTGGCACTCATGCAGGCCTGGCATTTAGTGGGGGCCCCAAAAATGTTTAGAGCTAGCGAGTGGATGCTGAATAGCCTTGCCAGGCTTGAGGACCCTTTCCTTGATTCTATGGCATCTCATTACCAGACCGATCTGATAATGGGTTGCTTGTTTTTCACTCTTCCCATCTGTACTACCCCCCCCCAAACCCCATCTTGCTTCCAGCTGCTCTTTACCCAGACAGGAATTAGCCCATCCCTCTCATTCCCCTGTACTCTCAGCCCATGACCCTCCCAGAGTACCTGACCCAACCCAGCCCCTCCCTGTTCTGTACAAATACACCTGAGGACAGGCAGAGCTGCAGACTTCCTGCCCCTGCTCTGCACTCTCAGGTAAGGACCTTGTTCTGCTTGCTGTAGGCAAGGGTGGGGAGTGGAGAGTTTGTGAGAGTGGGTTGTTGTGTGCCTGCATGGCTGTGGTCTCTCTGGGTATGTGTGTATGTGTACTGAACTGGTACCTGTGTCTCTCTGTGTCTTTGTAAGGGTGTGTCTGGGTGTGCTGTCCATCTCTCATGGGAACAGCATGTGTCTGTGTGCTGTGTGGTTGTGTCTGCATCCATATTTACCCATCTGTCCTCCCTGCACCTCTACTCTGTGCTGAAGTCATAATGATTTCCAGCCTCCGCCATGTCAGGTCTTGTATTAGGAACCTTCCAGAGCTATTAGCTCCTCTCTCTCAAATAGTTAGGTCTGAATTGGGAAGAGATATTCCAAGGACTGTCTTTTCTCCTTCTTCTAATACAGATCCTGACTGGCCCTTTACCTCTCTCACCTCGAGTCCAGTCCTGTCACTAAGAAGGAGGTTGAGGGAACATGAAGGGCCATGGGCATGGGTCAGAAGTTGACTTCAACTGAAGTCAGTTTGTAGCACAAGAAGCCATTGAAAATGGCTGACTCAATAGAACTGGGGTGCACCTCAGAGGTAGAGAGCCTGCTTTGCATGGACAAGGCCCTGGGATGAACACCCAGTGCCAAAAAAAAAAAGCATGTGTGTTGGGGTGGGGGAGAGCTCCAGAACTGTAGTATTAGAGGAGTATTAGAGGGGTGTGCATGTGTGTGTGTGCTCAGATGCTCAGCAACCATGGGTACCAGAGAGCCTTGATGCCCAGTATTTAGTCCTTAAGTCTACTTTGGGTTCATCGTCTGGTATCATCAGTTGTGACATGCGTGCCTGCCCCAAGGAAGATATGGCCAGACCTCAGCAGCTCCGTCTGATGAGTGTATGTCTTAGTGATAAATGGCAAATTGGCTTAGGCCTCAAGCCTCCCACCCCTACCAATCCTAGTGGGAGGAGACAGTAACAAGCAGCTAGAACCCTGGAAGGCTGTCCATGTACTTGTGCTACAAGGACAAAGATCGCTAGATTCCCTGAACACCCACAGGCCCTTACTCACCACCCATCCTGTCCTTTCCTGCTGTGAGCACGCTAATCTCTCCAACTGTCCCTCGCCAACCCCTAGACCAGGGGTTTACATAGGGACCTATAGGGACAGGGGTACCATGACCGTGCACATGGCAGACACTCCTCATGAATAATTAACATGATTGAAATTGACCCAACTAGGATTGAATTAACACATGATGGTGAGTCTGGGGTAGATCTGAGGGTGGCAGGAGGCATTCGGTATAAGAGTGTAGAACTTGGGGGCTGGTGTTATCTTTTGTCTCTGTCCTCTTCCCATGTGTGTGAGCCCCACCACCATGTCCATTCAATACCTGTGGCAGCACCCAGAGTGCCAAATCTACACTGGGTACTAGGCTAGGACAAAAGGAGCAGTCTTACCCTTTTCATCCTTTGAGGGGACTGTGTGGTGCATCCCTGGGAGGGAAGAGGAAAAAGACTGAGTTTTAGACCACCATGAACTAAAACTTCATCTGTTGTACCACAGGTGTTCCTTGTGTCACTCCCTGTTCTTGCCTCATAAAGATGGATCCAGGTAAGCAGCATGGCCAGGAAGCCATGGGGTGGAAGAAGGAGGAGAAAAGGAAGGGGAGTAGTGATGGCAGGAATGATTGGTCAATCATAACATTCAATCACCATTTTGGTGATTGAACACCAAAAATGTGTGTGTGTGTGTGTGTGTGTGTGTGTGTGTGTGTGTGTGTGTGTTAGGATTCCAAAGTGCAAACAAGCCCTTATATTCTGTATAACACTAGATCTTAACCCTCAGGAGAAAAACAGACGCTTCTCCCATTGCATGTCGGGTGGGATTGAGGCCAAAAATCATGGGCAGGTCTAGAACCAGAACTCAATTCTTGGCAGCTGAGCCATTGGCTCCCCTCAAATGGCACAAAAGAAATAGCAAGTAGGCCAGGCACAGTAACTCAAACCTGTAATCTCATCTATTTGGGAGGCAGACATCAGTAGGATCATAGTCTGAGGCCAGTCCAGGCAAAAATGAGAGACCCTATCTGAAAAATAACTAAAAGATAAAACAGCTGGAGGCATGGCTGGCTTAAGTGGTAGAGTGCTTGCCTAGCACACAGCACAGGGCCCTGAGTTCAAACCCCAGTATTGCCAAAATAAGCAAAGAAAAGAGAAAGAAAGAAATAGTAGGCAACTCCCATCAAAGGAGCCTTCCAAACCACCCAGAACCGTGCAGAAGGTTATGCAGAATGAGCACACTGGGCCCACAGCAAAGAGGCTAGATGGTCAGTGAAGTGGTTTTTCTGCAGGAAGGCAAGGCAGAGTCAAGCTAGAAAGATTTCCAACTGGTAGAAGGTGTGAACAAAGGCCTGAGCTAAGACCAGAAGATTATAAGCGGGAGCTAACAGACAGCTCTGAGGGGCTGAGCAGAGACTGGACTGAGATAAGTGGGACATGAGGGAACAATTAGGGGAGGCCATGTGGGGTTTTATGGAGGTGGAAAAGGAAGAATTGAGGTTTGCCACAGTGGAGTGCCTTCCTAGTGCCATGAAGTTTGGCCAAGGTTAGGAAGACAGACCGCTGATAGTGCGGACAAGAACCCACACCTCTAACTGGCCCCACACCACTCGGGGGACTTGGCCAGCTCTTGAGTCCACAGGGACGCACAAGTGAACTCTATATTGACTTTCAATAGGAATCTGCTGTTGAGTGGATGAATGAAAGAATGATTGTCAGGCAAGTGGCCAAGTCTAGGGAGCCTCATTGAGGGTGGGGGTTGGGCACAAAACCAGAGCCAGGGAAAAGAAAGGATTTTTCACTGCAGAACCAAATGACCAAAGCTGCTGACGCTTTATTTTTTCTTTTCTTCCCTTCCTCTCCCACAGGTCCAAAGGTAGGAAAGTTTCTCAACCCTCTCCCCTTTTTCCTCCCCATGGCTGTGTCCTCCAGACCTCTAGAGTCCTTCCTGGACCCCAACTTCCACCAAATGAAGTCAGGAGCAGGTTTACGCAGCAGCCCTGCAGGACTGGGCATTGCCGCATCCATCCACCCCCTGTAGACTGCAGCCTTCTCCTTGGCATTGTCTCCTCTGTTTTCCCATCTGTCTCTCTCCTTTCCTCACTTCCCCTCCCTGCCCAGCAGCCCATCCTCTCTCCTGCTGCTTCCCCACCTGTTCTACACTTCTCTGCTTTCCTGGCTCCTCCACAGCTTCGCTGTATAACTGGCTTGCTCCCAAGCCCAGCCACCCTGCATGGCCCCTAGGACAGGCTTCTAGCAGGAAAGGGAGACTACCTGCCCTCCATCTTCTCCCTCCCCACAATCAGCAACCACCAACACATCAGCTCCCTAGCCTGGATCTGTGGTTCCACCATAAAAAAAGTCACAGAAGGAGAGGTAGGTAGGGTGGGAAGTAGTTGTTTCCAGATATCACTGAACTTGAATGAGGCAGAGGCTGCTCCTACAGGGTCACAGGAAAGCCCTCAGCCCTGGCATCTATTTCATTGCCTCTTGTACCAAGCCCTGATCAGGCCCTAGGAGGCAGAAAAGAGTAAGGAGTTTTTCCAGCCCTGGAGTGGTAGCCCAGACCCACAGTGTCCTAGCATGGAAGCAAGATGATGTCTCTTCCCCCTCTCTTGGGGCCTCAGGAGTGATTCCAGCCAAGACAGAAAGTCAAACCACACTTTTTCCAGTCCTCTTCTGTCTGAGAAGAAAAACTTTGGTTTTATTTTCTATTCTTCCTGATTTCTTGGGTATGGCACCTGCTCAGGGTTGACATGGGCTCATATTCCATGCACCCCACACATGTCCTTGTGTGCACAGCAGGCTTGTATATGCACTAAGCACCCACCCATGCACATGTACCCAGGCATAGGTATTTGTATGTAAATGCAGCACACATCCTCTTTATACACACATATCACTACCTGTGTAGAGAACACTTACATCCTCACCTTCCACCTCCTATCCTTGGTCTCCTCCCACCTTCTAGCTCCTGGATCTCTCTGGACATGACCTCCTGTTCCCCCTGCCTCTGCCCCTCAGTAAACCCCTCCCCAGCCCTTGCTCCATGAGCCTGAAGTTCTAGCATGGTGAACTTCTAACCACTCTACTAGGGTTCCTGGGCAAGGGAAGGGGGGAATGTGAGATAATTCTGCTTCTTATAGATAAAATAAACAGAGGACAAGGGAGTGGAAGTCACAGCTCAACTCAGCTCAGGGAATGGAAACCAATAAATCTATGCCCCTCTCCTTTTGACCGCTCAGTACTCAAGTGGTTTTATCATAGCAAAAGGCCCAAGGCTGGGCTTGGGAATGGTCACTTGCTACCCTGTCACCTACCCCTCTACCACAGCCCCCTGCTGGTACCCATGAATCTGAGTCCCTTGGGGACATAGGTGAAGAGTTGATTGCAGGTGAGATTGGCATCTACCTTGGACTCTTGACATTGCTCATTTGGCTTTCCACAGGGCCACTGCCATGGCGGCCATCCTCCAGGCCCTGGTGGGCCCCACCCTGGCCATGGCCCAGGACACCCTCCTGGGGCATGCCCCAACCCAGGACCTGGTGGACACCCCCACGGTCATGACCCACATCACCCTCCTAAGGGAGGCCATCCCCCAGGACCTGGTGGGCATCCCCTGGCCCAGGACATCCCCCTGGTCCACATCACTGAGGAAACAGACGAAAATAGGACACAAGATGAGGAGCCTTCATGGATTGCCCTGCTGACCTGGAACCAGGCTGGAACCAGAATCTTCTCTTCCTAATAAACAGCCTCTAAAGGCTATGTTCTAGTCTTAAAGAGCCTGTCTTCCTGCACATCCAACTTGGCACTCAGGGGGCTGGATTGTCTTTGAGTTCTCTTGTTGTGAAAATGGGGCATTCAGCCTGGCATCCTCAAAAACTTAACTCAGTGGTGCCCACAGCATCTGGCTATTTAAGGTCCCCCTCTTTCTCTTTTCATTTATGTCCCCTCTCATTCAGGGGCCTCAAATATGGCTTCATCACCTCTACTCTATGAAAGGTAAGGCCCAGCAGGACCTTCCAAGGTTTCAGCCCGCACACCTCATTCCTCACATCTGAAGCCTTCAACAGCTCCCTGTTATCCAGATGGATTCCCACCATTCCCTGAAAATACACTGAACTTTCCAACCTCCTGAACTTTTACTGCAGTTGCCTAACTCCTACCCCACATCAAGATTGCCCTCCTTGTCTCCTACATCCACATTTTCAAAGTCTTCCAACCCAGCTGAAGCCCTGCCTTCTCCAGGGAGCCTTCCCTAAGGCCTATTAGGACCAGCGAAGTCTTCCCTATTTACACACTGCCCCCTTCTCTGCCAGAGTTTCAGAGAAAAGATAGTATCGACCATCTTGTGGGTGTGACCACACCCTGCCCAGCTGGCACCAATTCATGGGCTAGCCCTTTATCTCTCCAACCAAACTGTAAGCTACTCAAGCACTTCTAAACCTCTAGATTCCTCCCCCCCACACACACATACCATCCCCTATAACCTGTGCCTTGCATAGACTGGCATTGGCACACATTTAAGGACCATCTATAATCCAAATGCTCCTGGCTTCTGACTCTCTCCCCCAGCCCCATGTTTTCAACCAAGGCACTTCCATGCATGCACAGCCAGGCCCTGAGCAGCCGGCTTGTTGTGAAACCCTTTCCACCTGTACAAATCCAACATCCGGGTCCCTTTCCCCTCCCCTGCCCCCAGGCTTCTCTCACTGCTGGTGTCTGACTCTAGCCAGGCCTGTTCAGCGACCATCACACCAAAACGTGCTCTCCTCTCCTCTCCCTCATGTCTGTTACCTAATGCGGAGCCGACAAGTGCCCTGGAGTGGATTGCGTGGCTATCAGGTCCCCCCAGGCTGAGATGGGGAATGATGGTGGCTATGAGAAACCGGGATGGGCATCCCTCCGAGCGTGTCTCCTCTCCACCCCCCTCCCCGTATTGCGCACTTCAATAACGAAGTCGAGGCTCCACTGCCGAGGGGCGCAGACCCAGGTCCAGTTCCAAATGGACAGGAAGAAAACCCAACTTAAATAGATGCGTAGTCATGGGGAGGAGAGGAGGACGCGGAGAGGAGCCGAAAGAAATGGGGTCTCAAGACGCTGACCTCTCCACCTCTCCGCGCCCCGCGCTGCGAAACGCAGACGTGGAAACCTGCGTTTCAAATTGCGAGGACCTCTCTGTTCGGGTGGGTGCTCCCTAGCCCCTTACGGGAAGACCGAGGTCCCCAGGAAGGGCCAGACGGTCGGACTCCTAAGGACAGCACTCAGACTTGGCCACGGTAGAGGGGCCTATACTGCTAACCGCAGCCTGAATGACGGTGAACCCTCCGTCCAGCGCTGCGGCGCAGTGGCAGCCTCGGTCCCGGCCAGCCTCGGTGTCAGCCTTTCCCCTCCCCCCTCCCCTGCCCCCATTGGCTGGATTCCTCCTCGGCCCCGCCCAGCGACTGGCTAGCTAGCGCTGACGCATGCGCACCAGCCCCCCGCTGCCGCTTCTTCAGCACCGGAGTCCGGACAGCGGCGCCGCCCACGGGCATGGACGGAGGTAGCAGCAGCTGCCGCAGCTGCTGCAGCAATCGTCTCCTGGCGGGTGTCTGAACGGGGAGCAGCGGCCTGGGGACAATCTGTTAGCCCCAGACGACAGCCCCCGGGACAGGTAGGAAGGACAGCTTCGCAGACCCGGCTCGCAGATCTTCTCGGCGCCCTTGCTCCCAGGTATTCTCAATAGCCGCCATATGTCACCCCATTCATTCCCCAGCCTTTTCCAGAACCCTTTCGGGGCCGGGGTGGGGGGCGGTAATACCTTCATCCTGTTAGGTCAATTTATTTGTCCTTGACATCCCCTGGTGTCATCCCCCCTCCCCATCGCTTTCACCATCTGGGGGAAACTGCCCCACCCACTGTCCCTACCTCTCAAGGCTGCGGTCCCCCCTTCCCCTGTCCTCCCGAGCCCCCCTCCCTCTCGGCCCTGCCTCTGCGTCTTCTCAGAAGGCCCTAAGCCCGCAGTAACGTCAGTCTGGGTTCCAGAGTGTCAATATGCGCTGGGTTGCGCATGTTCCGCGAAAATGAGGCTTTGCCAAAGCGGGTGTCCTGGGAGGGCAGACATTCGGCACTACGTCGGGGACTGTCTTTGTCCACCACCATCATCAATTGACTGTCAGTCGCCTGCCTACCTGTCACGTCATTTGTTTGCCTGCCTTGCGTGTTCTCTGCTTCTGCACGTATCGTCTGAGTCCCTGCGTGTGACAGCCACTGGAGCCGCTAAGATGAACAGGCTCAGAGGCTCAAGAGGTGGTCTATATGACCCATGAAGGAGCCCCAGGCTGGTGCAACAGGAAGGACACCTTCCTCCTAGGTGCCCATCTCCATATCTGGGTGCCTGTCCCCTTCCTTCCTCCACCATATGTGCGATGGAACAGTCCAGCCAGGTAGCAATATGGCGCAATTTCTGTGCCCTGCCTGGCTCTGCCGCCCCCAGAATCTCTCCTGTGACGTGACACTGCCTCTCTCTCCTGCCTGGACTGAAAAAAAAAAGGCATTCTTTGGGGCAAAAAGCAGAGGTGGAAACATAGTTTCTAGATTATCTCATTAAAATGTACATTCTGTATCTCAAAGGGATGAACAAGCCCCACAAGTGCAGATAAATGTGTTCTCTCCTCTATTATTACTGTATCAGTCTGGAAGGCACAAAATCTTCAGGAGGGTGAGACACAGGATGGTTGTGTCCCCCACACCAGGGTCCTGGTTAGAACTGTGGTCTAACCAAAAGAAGATAGGGATGAGACTGGGGGCTATAGCTCAGTGATAGAGCACTTAGGTCCTAGGTTCTATCCCCAGCCACTGTGAAAAGGAAAAAAATAAACAAACAACAACAACCAAAAAGAAAATGATGAAGAAAAAGAAGGAGAAGAAAAAGAAGATGGAGAAGTGACAAGGCAGGGCAGGGGCCCAGGGCCAGAACCGTCTGTACAGGAGGCTGGGCTGGAGAGTCCTTTGCTGTCTGGTATATCTTGCCAAGGATCAGCTCTGTCTGGTCTGTTCATTTCCCCTGGGCACAGGAACCACTTGTTCTCTTCCAGCAATTCCCTGGGACCTCTGTCTCTCTCTGTACCTCCCCAGAGATCATGGATACTACGCAGTAGACTTGGCGCTCCTACTGAGCTAAGTAGCACTCTGGGGATAGATACGCGGTGAGTAAGACTGCACACACCAGACACTACACCACACAGACACACACACAGACACACACACACACACACACACACACACACACACAGAGTTGGCTCAGTCTTTTTTTTTTTTTCATTGCTGGGGATTAAACCCAGGGTCTTATTGAAGCATGTTCTGCACTACACCTACATAGCCAGCTCACCCCCACACCACAATTTTTTTCTTTTCTTTTCTTTCTTTCTTTCTTTTTCTTCTTTGTCAGGTTTTGCTTTGTTTCCCAGACTGCCCCTGGAACACCTGGGCTTAAGTGATCCTCCCATCTCAGAGTCCCAAATAGCTGGGACTACAGGCACACACCACCACTTTCAGCAATCCTACAAATGTCTTTTACAAATGCATTGACTACAGAGATATTTGAAAATAGTTAACTCTTTGTGTTTTTAAAATTACCTTTTTATTTTCCTAGTGGCATGAGCTACTCTCCCATCTGTGCTGGTCATATTGTGGGATCACATGAATTTCATGATGGCTCTTATGTAGGCTTTGGGAGCAAGGTTAATATATATATATATATATATTTGCCCCTGACAGGGTTCCCAAGCTGGGGCTCTGTGTCTGTGGTCCTGTCAGCCAGCACTGGGATGTTGGCTCCTGAGTGTGGCTAGCATCACCACTTACCATCCCCCTCCCTGCCTGCCTGCTAGTCATCTGGCTTACAGGCCAGTGGGCCCAGGCCGGCAGCCCAGGAGAGCCCTAGAAGTGAGAGGGTAAAAATGAAAAGCCCTTGGAGAAGCAAGGACTGGAGTGCTTAACTCCTATTATTACTGGTCTCCTGAGAGCAGAGGACAGCAGGGGCTGCCAGAAGAAAGACTTTATTCTGAAAAGGGTGGAGTTTGCCTCTTTTCCTTGGGAGGGTTGAAACAAAGGACCAGCTCTTCAACAGAATGTAGGATCAACCTCACAAATTGATAACAGCCGGCACAGTCAAGAAAGGTAAGATTAGAGGCCACTGATACTAGGTCCTTTGAGAGGAATAGAAGGTGTTGAGGGGAAGGATCTGTAGATAGGGAGATCCCAATGGAAGCAAACCAATGATGGAGGCTTGATCTCCCCTTCAACAGGAACCAACTAAGGAATGGAATAAATTCATGAAGTTTGGCAGGGAGAGGGCTTCCATTCTTTACCAACACCTTCAGTGTGCTGACTTCCCCTAATGCAAAAGAAACTGGCACTCCTACCAGGGGCCTGGCTCCCAGGACAAGCCCAGTGCATAGTGCTGTAAGACCATGGGCAGCTGGAACAGGCCCCTCACCTGTTAGCTCCAGAGAGGCTGCCCTTCATTCCTGACCTCTAGGAGGCAGACCCTGCTCTAAACAGGGAGACCAAGACTGACAGGCATCTTCATGCCTTCAGGACCCCACTCAGGCCAACAACAAGCACAGTGATGAGCCCATGGCATGTGCTTTAAAAAAAGGGGAGGGGGGGCAGGCACTAGTAGCTCATGCCTGTAATCTAAGCTACTTGGGAGGCTGAGATCAGGAGGATCACAGTTTGAAGCCAGCCTGAACAAATAGTTCTCAA